GAATAAACTCTATAAAGAAATTTTATTTCTCGTATGTTCCTTCCAAAATGACAAACTGGTTGTTAGGATGGCCTTTTCTCTGGGTTTGACTAAAGGGATCCAACCGCAAGAACACATATTTCAGAATGAAATTCCACCCAGAAGCTTTTAAGCAGCGTTTTCAACAATTCCTTTATTGGATATTAGATTTTGTTAATTTTAGTTAAATAATGTCTAACTTTACGAGAAGTACCAACTTGCCCACGCTATATCGGCTAAAGAATAATTTTGCAGTGCCGTTTTTACTTGTGACAAATATCAACGCAATATACTTAATCTCTGTTTAGGACTTTGAAGCATTGAAACAGATCTTCCAAGTTGCGCGTTTTGTAGTATTTTTTAAGAAAAAGCATTGACCAATAAAAAATACTTTCAATAAATAAAGCCACTAGTTCACAAGCATGCAGACATGTATCTCCTTAATTTTTTGTTGCAACATCCCTGAGTTGATAATGCACACCTGTTAATGAATACATTTTGCTTTATTACATTTACGCTTATGTTATTTTTCACGTTTGGTAGTTATAGCTGTCAAATGTTGCTTGGGGTATCTGCATACCCCAGAGCATGCAGAATCCTTACCGTTGTATTATAAGCGCTATTTTCATGGAGTTTACTTTACGAAACAGATATGAACTTATCAGATTCGTATGTTTTGTTTCTTACATACTATTTCCGTCTTTTTGATTTAAAATTTGGTTTTCAGATGTTGGAGTGTTCAAATACCACACAGGAGTAAATTCACCTTAACAGGGTTCGCGAGTAGCGGTGTGTCAAAAACTTTATAAAACTTACCCTCGTAACCTTCAGGAAATTCTACAGCAATATATGGATGGGGATATCACACTATATTTAATCTCACACGATGTTGGCTACATGTTTTAAAATACACATGAATGTCTATATTACGTTAAAGGTAGCTAGAACGGAATGTAGTTTACAAGATCTCTAAATGCCAATATATAAAAACTATTTTTAATTAATTACTTAATAATTTTATTATATTTAACATACAATATGTTATATCTCTAGTGATAAAACAACAATAGTATCGTTAAGGGAATGTTCCACATGGACGCGAATATACCCCAACGGAGCAACGCGGCGCGGCAGCACACTCGCCGCCCTGCGCCGCGCCGCGCGCTTTTGTGGCCCCTGTGGGGCGCCCCGAGTGCGTCAGCGCTGGTCGCAACCGTTCTCACGGCGGAGGAGCCCTCAATGGGCAAATCACGAAAACACGGGTTGGCGGCGCCGGGACAATGAGCGTCCGGCCATTGTGATCGACAGACGCGCGCGCGCGTAGGTCTCGCTGCCCGTGCAATCACAAAAGCCGCCCCGCCAATAGCGCACCCCACGATCGGGAATGTTGCGCGCGGAACGCGACAGATTTAATCGAAGGGATGTTTTGGTGAGAACAAGAAGCTGCTTTGGGAGGGTGTCGAAACAAAGTTGGACGTTGGCTCTTGTAAAAAGGGTTTTCGTTTTGAAATCCGCGCACTCCGGATGTTGGAAATATGTTACTTTTAAAAGTTATGACAGTCTGGAATAAACGTTCAGCTTGAGTCCTATCATAATCAGGTCAAAAATATCAACATGAATTGGAATTGGATGAATCCAGGAACAAACACACCGTTTGAAGAAGCAAGCCATTAGGGTGGACATTAAAACGAATGTGAAAGAATCAGTTTTTTTATAAAAACTAAATTGTTTCTAGGAATACATTTGTAGCGGTTGTTTTCAAAGAAACGCTCGTGATCACAGAGTCGAATGTGTCAGTCAAGTAATATAACTTCGTGCAATTTTTACTATTATATGGTTTTTGTTTCTTCCGCCTGCAACAAGATTGAATGCAGCCACTGCAACAGACAAGTAAAGCGAAGTAGTATCTAAGAAAACCTGTGTTTCGCAGAAAGACGTGTTAGGTTTTGATTTTACAACATTTTTAACGATTACATTTTTTACATTTCGTCATATATTTTTATTAACGAATGTGGATACCAGCTTCTGTAGTAGCTCCAATATCATTACGGCACCCGAAAAATCCTAAGTCTCCTAAGGATTCAAAAATATTCTAATAATAAGTCCTAAAACAGCAAGGTCTTTCCTAAACAAAATTATTAAATTAAAGCAGCGTTGTGGCTCATCGTTGATCCCCGAATTGGCATTCGTCGGTTAAAGACAACGCCTCCCCTTCTAACGGGCCAACGAGAATGTCTAACAGGTTATTCCCATGCCTCTGATGATAACTGTAGGTCTAACTCGTTTTTACTTCTTTAACAATATTTACTTGTGAATTATTATGAAGGATTGCATTAGAAATACACTAAGCAGAATTATCAGCAGTGAGCAGAATTTTTGACTGAAGTCTGACTGTTTCACGTCAATTGTTTATCGAGATGCATCCATAGGTATTTAACAGTACCCGTTTGAGCTTGTATTTTATTTTTCATTTTAATTGAGGGGGCAAGTTTATTTTATGAATGAAGGTCACGTGAGTGTACTTTGCTTTATTTACTTGAATTTTTATCTTTTAAATTCCGTTGTCAATTCCTTTAAGTGTTGCTCGAGCAATTCGGAGGTTTTTGTACGATTGACTTGAGATATTAAAATCCCTATTTGTTGGCTGTGGTGACGTTCCTATGATGATGTTTTCAGACATTGGGAGATCTGCTATCTACAGTAGATATAAGATAGTTCAGATTTAGGACAGGTTAGATACAAAATATACTTCCCTAGTCAGACGTAACAGGAAAGAATGTGGAGGTTCATGGATATAATTCCAAGCCAGTTATCGAATTGGTTAATTTGCTCTCTTGTAGTGATGCAACCTACTTTTCATAACAATAGAAGTGAGGTCCGAGATTAGATCTAACGAGGCTTCAATTTGTATGAAGTTAGAGGAAATGCCCTTCACAAAAAAATAAGTCTATAAGATCAGGAATTTGGCAGGTATCTATAAGTCAGTAAGTGGATTGCCCTGTTAAGTAGTACGATAGGTTCATGGATATAATTCATTTCCTCACCTCTAGTTGCGCTTATCCAGGAACAACAAGCTCGATGTTTTGCATTATAATCTCCGCCGAAGAAGAATATAATTCCAACTAATTAAAAAAAACAACAAAAAAACAACAACAAAAAACAAAAATACTGGTAGACAATAGATGGCGGATTTGTATTTCTGAGTGACACAGATGAAGACTGTCTGCCCTGTAGCAAATATACATCTACAGCCAGAACTGCGTACATTAAAAACCTTGGAGAAAACAAGCTTGAGGGCTGGTGCACCTATATCCAAGTAAAGTGCCAGTTTATCTTGAATTTTGAACGTTTTCTGATTAGTTTATACGATTCTCATGATTCATTAGAACTTTAAATAAATGGGGATAATTTCTGTATTATGTAGTTAAACCCACATTGCTTATTAGTGTATCATGTATATTAAATACGCATACTAAACGCTTCAATATGAGCAATCTCTCCATTGTTTTACTTTCAATGTTTCCTCGAAACCCAGAGGGTAAAATGCCAATGTGATTTTAATTTGAAAGCCAGCAAGCTCATTTATGTGATTCTATTCATGTTTCTGGGATGCGTCCTGTTATGATTAAAATCCGCTAATTGAGAAAGTTTTTAATATCTGATTCAGTAAAAAAATGTTTCCTTTTTTGACAGGTGAAATTCCCGATGCGAGGTGGTCGTTTCAAAATTGATTGAATAGAGATCGTTATATATTATTTTTTTAATGAAAGACTCGCTTGAGGCAACATCAGTTTTATTGATACGTTTCTCTGGCATGTCTGTCATATTATCTGTTAATCTGTTTTATTTCCTCGAAATATTTTCTGTCAGCGCTGCAGTCAAAGTAGAAACACTCACGTAAAATTTTCTTATTGTTATTTGTTATATAGTTCCAATAAAATCTATTAGTTCCAATTTCTCTTAAATTTTTTAGACTTAAAAGAAAGATGTAACTTTTGTCTTCCGTTTTAACGTTTTTTTTACTTAGAAATTCAGGGATACTTTATCTACAACGAGGAATTGCCTTATTAATAGGTTAAAAGTAGAAGTTTAAAACGAACATCCTTTCATTTAAAATAATGGTATATATAATAAAATAACAGTTGTATGAAAATAAAGGATGGTGAGATCCGGCGCCGATCTACAGCTTTGCTTAAAGAGTTTTCTCCATACAGGTATCTCCCATCAAGCGGGGACCTACCCCACCAGCGAGAAGCTCTCAGTTCCAAAGCTGAGAGGTCCCCTGACATGTGTCCCCCTCAGCTGGTCTCCTGACATGTGTGCATGTACTGTAAGTATAAGTGAGTGTGAGGATAGGACGAACAAGAGAAAGGAAAAATTGCGTGCGGTCGGCAAAATATTGCCCGTTTTTCTACGGTACTGTTCCGGCATTAGCGTTTATCGGAGAAACCACACAAAACTACCAATTGGAGAAGCCGGTCGCTAGAATTATTCTCCAGACTGCGGATGAATTCGACCTAGCTATTTGAATAGTGTAAACAAACTGCCACGGTTGGGACTCGCACCTCAGGACCTCCCGGTTAGAGGCACTGCAGTAAAGCCCTAAGCCACTGTCAACGGTCTCTCCATGGATACGTTTCACTGAGTCTCAGTACCTCTTGCCGCCAGTCGAGAACTCTCAGAAAAAAATCACAGTGGAAAGAAACCACGCGGCGATCACAATTTAAAAAGATATTTGAATCTTGAATGCATACGGCGCAAGACAATAACAAAAAAAGTGCGAAGATTAAGGATGAGGAGGAGAAGTAGTAGGAGGAGGAGGGGAATGATGGAGTTAAAAACGAAGAGGAAAAACAGGAAGGAGGAAAAGAAGAAGTAGGGCGAAAAGTAAGAGAAGAAACAGGGAAAAAGAGTAGGGAAAGAAGAAGAAGAACAGTCGAAGGCTTCCGTATAGTGAAGAGTGGTTGACTTCCATTCTTCACTTCAAGGAAGTCCAGCGCGGCCACATTCGTCGTACGGAGGTATCTTTGGGGAGCTGGGGGATATCTTTGACACGTCTGGCGGGGCCGTGCTGGTGCGTTCGGTCAGCCACGGCGAGCGTGCACGAGGAAGGGGCGCAGCTTCGGCAGTTTCCGCCGCAAACGGGCGTCGGCGGCGGGCGGCGGCGCGGGCCGCGCGGCGCGGGCGGGGGCGGGCGGGCGGGCGGGCGGCGGCGGGGCGGCGGCGGGCGGGCGGCGGGCGGTTTGGGAGCGGCAAGCGCCGGCTTACGACGGCTTAGGGCGGTGGTGCGCCCCTCTCCGCCCCCACCGCCACCGCCGCCGCCGCACCGCCGCCGCCCTCGCTCTCGCCGACCTTCCTCGCCGGGAAGGGAATTACCGGCGGCGGGCAGCCCGATGTTCCGCCAGCAAGGCGCGCCCGCCGCACAGTGCTCCCAACACCGTGGAGAGTAATTTCCCCCAAATTCGGAGGGCGAGATTCATATGGGCACGATTAGATACGTTAGTTCTTCTACACTCCATTTTATACAGGTTTACAGAAAAACGCTCATTGAATATTGAATCTGACTTTTGTAACCATTGATTTCCGAGCCGCCTCCCTTTCTCGATGGTCTGTAAAATTACTCCCCAAAATATATTTTTGTGGAGAATTTTTTTTCTTAAAACGAACTTTAAGAAGTAAATTTATCAAAGAGATTTTTTTGTTGACACTACATTGCTTTTCAAATGAACGGGTTAATAATAACTTAATTATAAATGATTAGAAGAAAAAAAGGATTTACTTAAAAATTTTAATTTTACAGAAGAATTACTAAAGTAAGTTTCAATGCTTTGTTTATTACTCCATTTTCTCTCCACTAACAGATTGTTTACTTATTTGCAGAAAAACGTTGACGTTAACAAACCTGGCTTCCAAGTTGAAATGAGCGGTGAGGTTGTGGTAGTGACACAAAATGTTACCGTGAATATTCAATGATAAGGTTCGATCATAGCGATACGACGTACTAAAGAGGCCGACTAGCCTCAAAGAATGCTGCGGTTGCCACAAGTGCAGATGTTTTCAGACACAGGTCGTGAGATAAAATAAACATCATGCATAATACATGTGAATACTCTGACTTGATGTTCAAATGTGGCCACGATTGTAAATTGTGTTGCGGACACAAACTTAGAGCTACCAGATCTGACAGTTAACGCTCAGTCCTAATGTTAGATTGCGGAATGAATGATGTTTACAAAGTGTGAACGATTGTTTACCGTTACGCTACAATTTTACAGTGTGTGGATGCTTGCGAACGTCGGCGAGCACGTTCCAAATACACGAAGACGAAGGCTGAGTACTGAGTAAAACATGGTTTGTCATACATTTCCATCTTTTCTATCTTTCATTGCAAGAAATTCCTGTTCAGAGACGGAGATTTGAAGAATCGCAGAGATGCCCACTGACCCAGGAGGCTGACTTTTACAACACAAGGATACCACAGTACTGATCCCACAGTATGAAAAAATGTCTCAGTTCTGATGGTGATTATGTGAAAAAATAGTCAAATATGTGCTGCATCTGCTCTAATTCTCTTACCCATGAAATTGTGTTTTTTTCTTGAAGAGCAAGGGAAACTTACTTTCTGGATACGCCATGTATTTTAAATTTAGTTTCACCTTGACTTACACAAGAATGATTTAGGGAGAGCAACGTGATCAAATAAAAAAATAATTATATATGTTTCATAGAAGTGGCCATGAGAAAAAATATATATCACGTCGGAATGGATGTTATTCTGTATGTAAATTGTAAGTGTTGGAGCAAGTAATGAACATCTGTCACCGAGAAAAACAAAAAAAAGCAGGAAACTTGGTGCACAGTGAGGCTCTAGTGATATTCATATCGTTTTCATGTTAGTTTATTTCGTAGGAATTTTATTTCAAAAACTATTAATTTGTCTTGATTCTATGTCGGTAGGCCCAAACAATTTGAGGTATTACAAAACCTTCCCTATAAATTTCTGTTGTATCGCCCCTTGATATTTATTCCTAAGGGTTTGTTCATCGCATTAAAGTCATGAAAAATACCACTTGATCGAGAGAAGGGAAAAATACTCCAGAGAGGAATTCACTTTAATTTACTAAACTAATGTATAAAGACGTGCACAAACGTCAGGCGAACTCTCCTTGATCATTTTGTTTAAATTTTAAGTACATGTGTTATAAACTTCAAATTTTTGCTGGGTTGAACTCTTGCCTCGGTTCTGGAAAGCGACGAGTGAATTCATTTATCTATTCATACGTAATTTCACTTGTGGTTTGAAACTAGTCGATATCGAGAAGTTCTTCAGCACCAGTGGAATTCGATTAGAATATTTTAGGAATAAAAGTCGTAATTCGATTGAATAGTATGAAAACATATTAAATATAGCGACAAATATTTCTTGGTGGGCTATTTCAGAAGCTATAGTGATGAATGCATGGAAGGAATATATATTTATTTTACAAAACAGTTGTACGTCAGCTGCGGTAAGATGATATCGAAAAGTACACTTTTTAATTTTTCGATTTTAGGCACCTGTGATTGTTTTTAACCACCTTATTATAAAATGCTATTCGCCGGATTGAAACTAATAACAAATGAGTGGAGTAGTCGGGGTCAGTCGAAAACTCTTAGATTCAGGACACCATATTAATGAGTAATTACTTGATGCAGTGTAAATAATGCAAACAGTATGTTAAGGTACCTATTTGGTAAAGAAAAATTTCTCCAAATGTCAGTGTGGTCGCAACTTCCCGGCAGACGTGGCGCAGGATATCAAATGATGTCACTTCAGAGCCTCTGACTGTGAAGGCCTAGAGTTTGAGTCATGATCGTGGGAGGATTTTCGATACTAGTTACATAGCTAGGTCGAATTCAGTCGCTCTCTAGAGGAGAATTATAACGGCTTCTCTGATCAGCAGTTTTCCGTGGTTTCTCCGATCTGCAACTGGCGAATGCCGGAGCTGTATCCTAACAAACTGGCCACGGACCAAGTGCGATCTTCTCTACCTCTTCCTATCCTCAACCCTTACTCACACATAACTTACATGCCCTTCACATGCCGGGTGACCGGTTGGGAGCTTCGAGCTTGTCCCGGCTGGGGTGGTGATCCGGTGGTAGGAAATGAATCGTTGGGGTAAAATCCCGCTAGCCGACGGTAGGCCGGCGACGGGGGAAGATCGGCGTCACTTCACGAAGGGGGGGGCGTGCACAATACTTACGGGAATAACCTTAGCAGTTGACGTGCCCGGAATCACTAATCAATCAAAGCGGGTGTCATAGAAGCAGACATTGTAGATAAGCCGAATTTATTCAGTTGAAGATATGTAGGCTAGGAAGCAACGTTGATCCGAAAGCAAATTAATACACACGAGTTTATTTAAAACATTTCAATTCGCGTATATTTGTCCGCTAAAAAGATGAGAACTACTAACGAGAACGAAGAGAACTAGAACTGAGATTTCAAAATAATTCCTTTTTCAACATCATGTTTTTATTTACATGAAATTAAAAACAATTCAAATATGTTTACTATATTCTCTGTCTGTTCGTCCGTAGTATTATCGAGAATGGCTGAACCGATTTCGATGCGGTTTTCATTAAAACTCGAGTGTTTTGTCGGGCATATTTTTAGGCTATTTTTTCAAGTTATTTTATCTTACAAAAAGTTTATTCGTTTGTTTTTAATACAATCTAAATTTTTATTCGGACCTAACTGAACGTTTGTATAGATGACCTTGAAAATAAGATAAAAGTCACTGCCTGAATAACATTTCATAAAAATATCTCACATCTCCCTTTCCTACCCTTTACACTGCTTACCATGCAGTGGACGTTATGTGACAGCAATGATCCAAGGAGAGGACGCTCACCATTAAATATTTGCTTATTAACTTGTTTTTGTACCGGAACTGCTACTTTTTTTGATATTCTTTGGCATATAAAGAACGGTTTTAAATATATACGGACACATACACTTTACTCGTATGTTAGTTCACTTCCTTTGAAGATTGTTGTTGTTACAATATATAATTTATTGCAGTATTTAGGTCGTTTTACAAGACTACAGTTTTTGTGCTGTCCAGACTGTAGGATTCAGGCATGAAAAATTTCATATTGTTGAATTTTTATTCATACAGAAAATATAGTTTTGATATCTAACACCTCTAGCGGCAGTTTTTGCTTCACCTACGATTTGTTTACGCGCGTAAATCATCCTTTCTTTTCAGTTTTATAGTTAGGTTAGGTTCATTCGTGAGATTTTGCATATTGGCGCAGCAGATTCCAGGTCCTCGGATTTTCTGGCATGCTTATTTTAAAGCCTTCAATGATGAGGTTACATGAATCTCACTCTGCAAACCAAAACGGACTCCTTTCGGAGCGTTGTTTTTTTTTTTGCGCCACCGCTTATCTTCGCAGCCTCAAACATGCTTGAAGCAACAACAATGACAGCCTTTCGATTTTTCTCCCACGTTTCATTAACATAAGTATTAATAAAGTAGGTCAGAAGCTCGTACACAAATGTCGCGAGTGAATGTACCCAACGGCGCAATTCGGCAATTCCGAAAATTTAGCAGGTCACTTTTGTACAACTTATTTTCTTAATTGGAAAATTAATTCAATGATATTATTAACAATAATATACCTCCTCTTTGATGTCCCGGCAGAGCCCCTGGCGGCGTCTCCTGGCGACTCGAACAGAAAACGTGTAGACCGTTTAAACACGAATTTTGGCTTTCTCTAATTTGAGATCTTGAAGTTTCTGTACACGTTCGCATATGAGAATCTCCAAGAAAACTGTACTAAGTAAAATGGCTTTTATATTTTGTTTGTTGTTCTTGATCATTGTGCGTGCACTCCCATGTGATTAATTTTTTATAGTTTTGTTCAGAAGCAATTTTGCGGCTGCAGGTATCTAGCTTCCTACTAAATACTTTTTTTCTTATTCCAATTGCGCAATTAGCCTCAGAATAATTCAATGTCAAAATTGATTCTGGATATTGCCAGGGCGTAAGAAATAATCATCTATTTTTAGCTGCCCATAGCAACCATGAATAGCAACAACGATCGTAGCAAACAACAATGATCGTGACAGAACGGGGAGAAACGGGGCGTGCTGGGTGAGGCAGGTTGAAGGGAAAGAGTAGGAGGATGAATAGATATTAATTCCTTTCATGTCTAGTATCGCTTAATGTTCATTAGATAATCATCTTACAAACTGACAGGTAAGGTAAGCAGAGATTGTGCCTCGAAATTCGTTGTTTTATGGTTAATATGGTTAATAATATGGTTTCGTTGTTATTTTGGGTAATATATTTTTTACTGATAGGTTATTGTTTGTTATTGCCATCGATACGGATTTCGATGTCCACTGCGCAACTTCCCTCGATCAAGAGGATCGTGGTGAAAAGAGAAATATAAAAAAAGTTGAATATTGCTAGATGTTTTCTTATTGCCAAAGGGCCTCGGTCTTACCTCCACTCGACTATTGGAACCCTTATAAAGCCCACGGTGCATAAATAACTATCTGCAGTGTGGTGGAAGGGATTGGAGCGAGGTTGGACAACGTGGGACGGGACTTTGCCGGATAGAAGCGGGTATGGTGCGAAGAGATGGTGGTGGTGGCGATAGTAAAAGTAATTTCATTACATGTTAAATGAAGAACCCATTCCCTTGTTTGTAGGATATGTTTGAGTAATAACTACACGTCTATTTCTCGGGAGAGCGAATGTTATTAATTCTATTCTGCTACCAAATTATTATCCTTATTACAACGTTATTTGTTATTTTCGTAGTTTTTTGTATACCACTATTTCCTTCTTTAGATGCACGCATGTAAAAGATGAAAGTATCTACTTCGATGTAAAGAGAGTATTGCTTCCATTAGCATAGATGAAGTAAATATGAACAAGTAACTTAATACGCGTTTCGTCTAATCATGGTAGATACAGAGACTAGCTGGAATTGCAAGTGCAAAGAATTAGCATAATACACTTTTTTTAAATCCAAAAATATCTACAGTGTTTTCACCGACGCATCTTGGGTCATTTAGTGCCATTTCGACCCACTGAGCGCCACTGCCGCCGCCGCCGCCGCCGCCGCCTCCTCCTCCTCCGATCCGCGAGGATCCGGCGCTAGTCGCTCGGGCGGCCCCGCCCTCGGCCCTCGAGGAAGAAGACAATGCGCCGCCTTCCCTCTCCGCGCAGGTTTCTGCTCCGCTTTCGTTTCGGCCGAGCAGCGGCTCCGGACTGGGTGTAATCGCCAAGGAGAGGCGTCCCTTCAATGTTTCTCCCTTATTGTTGCTCCTTTGTACAGAGCGAAAATATATTTGTGGAAATATCTGGAGGATTAAGGGGTATGATTCTCTAGCACGATGATCTCCGAGTTTACGTGAAGGTAATACACTGTTTCTTGGATTCATCTTTATTATTTTTTATTAACTCGTGCTCACTGCCTCCTTCAATGAGCGAGTAATTTACAGTTGTTACATGGGGTCATTTATTTGCACAAAACTTCTGCTTTCAATTCATCCCAACTAATTCTACCGCTTATAGAAACTTTTACGCCAGTTTTGCAAACTTTGTTATAACACAGTTTGTCGTCTGTGTGTGTCGTACTTCTCTTAAAATAGTTTTAGAATTGTCGTTAATTTTCTTGAAATATCTAGTTTCAGAGATTTAGTCTGGGGCGAGGCGTTCGGTCGTGGATAGAAGTGGAGCTGACCAAACAAAGTATAAAAAATATTGCGTTTTAATTATATTTGAAAAGAATGCGATAATTAATCAGTATATAATCATATTTAATTAGATATTAGTTACGAAACAGCCGAGAAATAAAGCAACGAGATCGCACAGGAATCGGTAATACAAGAACTAGGACATCGAATTGATTGTTCGCCGCCCGCTGTCGGTGCCTCAATCGCCGGCAGCGGTTTGTTTATTTTCGCACGACGATAAGCGCTCCTAGTCAAGGCTGGTATAGGAGCATCTCGGCTGTTCAACGGTTTCCGGACACACCTCGCGGAGAGCGCTATTAGAATTCCCACTGTAAACGTGCGAGTAACGCTGCGATGTTTTTGACTGCGCCCTGTTTCTTGGGCGAATTTACTGACACGGGAATGCTTCGGTGTGACATTGCGAAACATGCCCTCATATTTTTTCATTGAATTAACATGCCCTGCTGATACCACGATGCAAATTTTGGCTGCCGATACATACTGTTAATTACTTTGAAAATCTTCACATTTGCTAATATTTTCGTACTATTTTTCGTTTCTACAGAGAACTTCGCCCTCGCAAGCCGAGCGGCGAGCGCGCGGGCGCCGAGGTTGGCATTGAAGAGGGTTGTTTTCTCCAGGTGAAATGACATTCGGTGTGTGCAGGCCATTCCCTGTACACTCAATGCTTTTCTTATTGTAAAATTCCATTTTATTTGAGATATTTTATTTCCTTAACAATGAAAGTTTGTTACTTTTTCATTATGAATATTGTCAATATGCATAATTATTATATATTGAAAACGTATATCATATAACTACTGTATCACTTTATATTTAAATTATGTCAAGAAGAGATTTAAGAGTTATTTCGTGAATCAAATTAATATGTCATGGCCTCATTTTTGTTTTTGTTCACGAAAATTATCATTTTTTAAATTTGTGCTTATTTGTGTTGATAAATCAATTTTCTCATTCGAAAATTCCGAAAGACTTACAACTTTACCGCACTTTTCCACTTTGCACCCACCTTTCGAGTGTGATTACACAACTGACCTATTTCGCAGTAGACGCAAACAAGAGCTCTTAAATTCGGGAAGAAAGAGTTCCAGGGGAGGTAGCTCATGTTGGATGGAAGATGAGCGGTTGCCGGAAGGTTTATCACGACGAAATGTATTTCTTACAAAAATGAGCAACAGATAAAACTAAAATTAGGAAAAACTTGTATTAGTAGTTTAGACTATGCATAGTTAAATTAGTGTTATTAGTTTTATTACTTTAGCTGCTAGAAGGGGCAGCTGCCTCCCCGCCTCAAATCATATTTTTTAATTGACTTTCAGTGTGTATCGGCACCCACAAGTTTGATTGTGAGATTAATACGGCATGTGTTTTCTATGAAAATAAGGATTAGGAAAGGTTTCGACATGCCATATCGTGGCATTCCCTTGTGAGACTAACACCGGCAGCGATAACGCATGTAATTGCTAGTTCGCAAGTGAAGCTTTGTAAAGTGTTATGAAGATTCTGTTCATGTCGAAGAGAATCTTTCGACGGAACAGAGAGATCGACTAGTTCTTCCTTATTAAATTGGAAAATGAAAGTTTCCAAATGAAACAAAGTTTACACCAGGCACTTTATGGTGTCTGGTTATGAGATTTGCAAGTGGCTATGTGAATGCGTGAAAACTTTTTTAGAAAATAAGGCAATTCCAACTAAAAATGTACAACTAAAGATTTAGTTGGTCATGTGGCTCCCTATGAGGTTGGGTACTTTTCGGGAAAAATATTCTTCGCAATTTTGAGAGGTCACAGTATTCCAGAAAGTAATATTTTATCATTACTATAGAAAAGTTGATAATAATACCTAGCTCATATCTAGTGTAATAAATAATATATACATGAATACACAATGAGTTTATACGAAGATTGCATTACTCATTCTAGTAGTGTTCTTTGATGCAGACTTATGTAAAATGTTCCAACCTTTTGAATAGTTTAAATGAGTTAAATCTAACAAGAACATAATGCATTTTCTACCATTTTCCAACTCCTTCTCAAAGAGATAACATAGACGTAAAACGTAACAAACAAACAAACAGCTACACCTTCAAACGTATGTTGCATTACTTTGCCATTGAAGGAACAACCATTCCAAGCAATGAGTCAGAAGAAAAGAAATTCTGCACAATGAGTTTTAATTGCTTTCGGGGTCCCCATGAATGCTTTCTCTTGTTGGAGAGGAGGAATTCTTTGAACATGCCATCATCCGCAAGATAATTAATAGCACGATATGAAATAAAACGTGACACATAATCTACAAACATCGTCACTTCTCTCTCAACGAACCAACAAACAAATGAAACGCTTGAACGCAAAGAGATAACGCGCGCCATTAATGTCTCTCCGCGTCGATTCAAGCCAGAGCCGCCTGCCGCCTCGGCTTCCGTCCACGGCGCTAGTGTCGCATGCGTGCCGTCTGCTCGCCCCTCCTCCTACGTAGCTCCCACACCTCCCTTCCGTTGGCACCAGCACTGACTGGTGCTCGTGATACCAACAATTTGTGTTGCTAACACTCCCACCGGCATGGCGACACTGGGGAGAGACTTTCCTGCTGCATTGTGTTGGAGTACAACGAGGTGAATATCGTTCCATCCCCCGTAGATCTATATTACAAGAAGGGAAAAACAGAACTGAATCAGCATTTCCCCACTTCAGTGAAAGAGCTATATCCAAAGCAACGAATCCATCCGAAGGATTGGTCGAGAATCCTGTGCGAGTAAACTTTAATTACTTATAGTATCCCCTGAGCGTGTATTTGTCGGAGAGATGCTCGTATAAGCTGCAGTCATGAAACGTAATATTTATCAAAATTCCTACTACATGGAAGTCATGAAAACAAGGAATGACAAAATAAGTGAGTTATTCAATTGAACCCAACTGTAAACTAATGATGCAACATCAGTACATATTTTCGCGCATTATTTTTAACTTTTGCAATTTTTCAAATTTCAGAGAGTTAAACAAAAAATATACCTGCGCCATTTTTAAGCGTCCTTCACTCTACACGAGGAAAATATTTAAAGAAAAAAAAATCGAAGAAAGAAAAAGTTATGCGTCAATGCAACAGACGTATTACAGTCAATCGATTTTTCGTTATCAAGGACTCACAAAACGAGGATTCTGAGTACATAACGTGTTAGAGGAAGTAATTTAATGTATAGAAACAAGATTGATCATCTTTCCCTATGCGATCGCCCACACAATACGAGATTTTCTGTCAACAAATCGTCAATTTGTGCCTTGGCTTACAATATTTTCTCTTTAGCACATACAGGAAGGTAGTGTAAAATACGTTTCCTAAGTGATATTTGATGTATTACTTCAACAGACATGGCTAATTTGAGGGGTACCTGCCTTTGACGTTATCGTGGCAAGAACATTTTACATTTACTCCCACCCCCAAGAACAACACTTGAGGAAAAACAAACAAACAACAACGTAACGGAACCTATGTCGCAGCATCCTTTCAAAGCAAAAACAACCGTAAGGAACACTTGAGCCAGCGGAGGAGTTAGTCGAAAATCCTGCGCGAGTGAGCTTTAATTGCCGGCGAGATCCCCAAGAGGGCGTGTGCTTGTGCGCGTGAAGAGGCTTCGTGGAAGCTGCAATCTGAGGCGCCCACGCCGCACGGGTGTCGGCGGAGAGTCTTGGTTGTCGGAGCGTGCCTGGGGCCCCGCCCGCACGCTCGCCGCCGCCGGCGCCGGCGCCGCCGCCGCCGCCCCGACGCGCCGTGGCCAGTGGCGCGGCGAAGGAAGGGCGATGAGTGGCTCACATTGTGACGCCCGGCCAGGATATTGTTACGGGTCCACAAAAAAAGAGACTTTTCAACTTGCTCGCCCCCAGCTTGTGTTGTTTTCTTTTTCGAATCTTTAAAGGGTGACAAAGGGTCACGAGGGGGGTACTACTATGGGAAATTCTATTGTCTCAATGTTCTTATGCTGCAAGGTCTTCGAAGTGTCTTTATTATAAGTTAGTAGTGATATCTCTGGTTGGCTATTTCACATTGTAGCTATTGTGTTACAAAATAAAGAATATTAATTAAACGTATATGCTCATTGAAACACTCATATTATACCGGATATTGTGTTTGAACCACCATGTGATATAAGGAGTAACGTACACAAATGCGCATTTCCCAGTTGAACAAAGAGTTTTCGATTAAATGTGCTCTGAGAAAAACACTGAAGCACACACACTTGCAGAAATTATTGTATATAGTTTTCTCTTATTTTATTAACTTGTTTCAATCACAGAATTACAATTCGCCAAAAACTGAACGATCGTATGAAGACTATATACGTTAATGTTCAGCGAATCATTGCATGTATATTCCTGTGGGCTCCAGGTGAAAATTCGCACAGCGCATTAGAATACTCTCGCATCTTCGTATCATACCACCCCAGAAGCGTATTGCAACGGGTGAAAAATAGGTGTCCAAGATCTTGAACTTTCCTGCTATCTTTTCCTTTTATTCAAGAACCTCAAAGTCGAGGAGCATGGCGTTTCTATTAGAAATCCTTTTTTATCGCCTCTGCTCCGCTTAGTAGCTGCAGCTCTTAGGACAGAGCTTGATTAAAATAAGAAGTATTTAAGAAGATGGGAGCCTTTACAATGCGTTCTTTATTCATAAACGTACTTTAAAATTTT